TCTCTTTTTCAGCGCAAAGTCTTCCGATCGGCTGCGGCCTCGCCCTAAGGTCCAGCCCGTGGAATTTTTGGGTCTGAAGAGCCCCTCCAAGACAGTCCATAAAACTCTGTTCATCGAACGAACAGACCTCTCTAGCTCAGTGTCTCAGTGACTTACAAATTTTCTTGTAAAGGACCCCGGAATACGACTGAGATTCATATCCCGGTTAGAAAACTCCCTTACAAGTGCTTCCACCTCATCCAGCTCCAGTGATGTGCCTTCGTCTGCACTAGGCCTCGGACGGTCTTTATATCCTCGGTACGGCTCTGTGTTGCTCGGATATCTTGCGCATCGGGACGCCAGCATCTTCTTCGCGTTGTGACACTCTTGACGAAGTTGGTCCAGATTGGTGATGTATATCGGATATATAATTTTAGAAATCTGATCCCCTACATTCATCTTTATCACCTCGATCAGGTCGAATTCTGAAAACTACACCTCCAGTCGCGACCTCAGGGCCAACATTATCTGAATATAAACTTCAATGGTTTTTCCCGGCTTCTGCTTCCGTTCCCGCAGCTCATACTCCCTCTTGAAGTTCGATCGCTGGCTCTGGAACTGTTATTGAAGAGCTTACCTCAGGTAAGGCCACTCTGGTCACTCTACAGACCTCACGTACATCCAGTACCATTCCTTCGACTAAAACATGAAACTCCCTCAGGACTTCCTTCCACGCCACCTGATACGACTTCTGGAGTTGTTCTAGTCGGAATATAAGCTCGGACACCTGCATACCTTTGGGACTTCCTTCAAAGGTAATTCCCCATTTCCGCAATTTACCTACTTGTATCAATGAGTTGTTTCTACTTCCGTGTATCAGGCGCTTTGTCCGGAAGGGTGTTCCGGATATATTGTTCGTTTCCAGTTCGCTTTCGGGATCTGATGACCAGTGAACTTGTCGACCGCTTTCACCTTCCTGCTGGTCTATACTCATGGACATCTGATTCGAAGGAATCCGTTCTTGTGTCATAGCCGGATTCAGCAACCCTTCCCAGTTCCGGCCACTTCGGAAAATGGCCCTGGTGGTGGAATATGAACTCCCCCAGGACATAGTGCTAACGGTTCCATGCCTGTTTGATTTGTGATATTTAAAACGAGACCAAAATCAAACTGTTTTTTTTTTTTTTTTTTGTTAACAAACACATAACAAATAAATTCATAAAAGAAGAAACGATATTGTTAATTTCGCTGTTGCAATGGCAGAGTGCAAGTTCCACATATGTATGTAGCTGAAAAATCTTGTGGACAGCACTAAAATTCTTAAGGCGAGCTAGTTACGCCAACGCTTGAGCACTAAAAAAAAAACTTCAAATGATTAAATGTTAAAATCTTTTTGACAGATCCTAGCAAAAGTTCATCAGCTGTTCTTTCTTTCGTAACATTCGTATCACAGCCGTCAGTATATCAGCATCAAATATAACAATCATTGTATAACAGACATAAACTATGCTTTAAAGCTTCTTTATCGATCTATTTAACTTAACTTTAAAGCTCCTTTAATAACTATATGTTTTGAATTTACTAGAGTTAAATTACTATAAGAACATAAGAATAGTTCGGCTTAAGCTTATGCATATGAACTAATGTAAATAGAAACGTATAAAAGACGGGCCTTGAGCTCGAAATAATTCGTTCAATCTTTACGCCTATTACATGGCAATCCTGCCTAATATCGGCAAAGGAAAAAAAAGACAAGAGCCCAAGCCAACCTAAATAGTCATGCTCAATATAAATAACATAAGCCATAGCCAACATACCGGCTAGAAAAGTGAAACCTCATCCACAAGAAAAATTGGAATACACTATTCAGTGGCCCCAAGAACGTTACCAAAGTTATAAAGGAGAAAAGGGCGCTCACTTGTTGGCCATTAGAGAAGCGCTGAAAATAAACCCAGCAGCCGGCCCGAAAACACACATTATAAGGAAGACTCCAAACCCATCCCCACCAGCGAAGAGACAACGAGGAGGGCGGATCGTAAAACAACGACGACTATGAGCAGCGCTTCTCTCGATCGTCAACAAAGGACCCCCATCACCCTGGAACGAAGCATGCGAAATAAAGGATTGATGCCATCGAAAAAGAGCAAGAAGCATACGGACAAAGACGGCACCAACAACAACAACAATAGACTAACACAAAAAAAAAAAAAAAAAAAAAAAAAAAAAACTGGTGACAAACGCCGTTGTTCTAAACAAAAATTAAATATACAACACATTAAAACAAAAAAAAATTTAATTTGTTATATATAATAAAATGAATTAAAATCTTATTTTGCTAAAAGAAAAATATTAAAGAATATTAATAGTTTGTTAATTTTGTTTTATATATGGTATAAGACTAAAATGTAAACACTTACAAAATATCTTATTTTGCTAAAGGAAAAATAATAAATAATTTAAATAATTTGTTAATTTTGTCTATATAAGAGAAATAATTGTCTTAAATTGAAAATTCAGAATTTTTTTGCCTATATATTTAATTATTGGAGTGGAAAGACATAAAAGACAAAATAGAATGACATAAAGAAAAATTTGATAAATCCTAAAAGTGTCTCAACAAAAACAGATAAATTCAAGCAACTACATTTAATAAACATTTAGATGCCCTAATTGATAGCTCTAATAACATAAAGGGGTCGATAAATCTATTGCCAAAAGTTATCGTCAATGCTGCCGTACTTCTAGTGGAACAAAACAACCACTTAAAAATACAAATAAAATGAAAATGAAAAAAAAAATTTGTAAAGAAAAGTTAAATAAGCTTTTAATAAATAAATATGATTAATTTCGTTTCTTAAATGGTAAAAGTGCAGTAAAAAAAGTTTGTGAGAATAGTGGAATGAAAACTGCAAAATAGGTGGAAGCCCTTATTGTGGGAAACAGCTGATTTCTGATGGAGGCTTATTTGAACTTTTGAAAATGTAAGTAAGACAACTTAATTTGTGAATTTAAAACTAAATGCAATGCTATTGATTTCAGGGGGAAGCTTAAGTCAACGCACCATGATGAAATCATGAACAGTGAAAAACGATGAAAAAATGAACCATTCCGATAACGAAACGATGACAAAAAGATATTAAAGAAAGTGTACTAGTCATATGATGGGCGAATATACTTGGTTCTTAGAACTATCAAACAGTAAAGACCAGGGAAAAGGGAAGTCAAAGTCAGCAGTGCACTTTTAAAGATTGAAGTAGGATAAAGTTTAAAAATATTGAGATAACATTACGATTATGAAAAATACTTTTTTGTAAAGAAACTCGAATAAATGTATTTGTTTAACAATTATACGATGCATCCTTTTTTCCACATTTCCATACTGAAGAAAACTTCTAGGTTCGAACTGAAACAATAACGCAATTTTGCACCTTTATGCAAAAACGAACGTCAAATTTGAATAATTATACGTAGTGAGATATATGAGGATGTTCGTAATAGAATTCTCTACGACAACAGAAAAGAATTTTTTTACATTTCTTGCCCCACGATACCGTTTTGCAACGTCAAAGGTGAATAAAAATAATGAAAATGCGAGTTTATTGAACAACACTTCCTACACTTTTGGCCATAACTCGTGATAGCAACGAGGTAGACAACGTCAAGTGGGCTTAAAATGTGCGTAATAGTATGACCTTTGAAACAAAGTATAAAGGATAAATGCAATCGGATAAAAATTGTAGTTAATACTTGTAAAAAAGTCGGAGTCATTTTTCGAAATATGGAAAAAAAGGAAAAATTGCCTCTACTGCAAAATTTCTACGGCTAACTAACCATATTTTTTATGTTTTTTCTAGTCTTTCGTCACCCCCAACCCAAAAAAAAAATACACCCCATCTCCATGGCAAAATCTTTGTAAGACAGTGTAATTAATTAGTAAACGAATACACAAACCAATATAGCATTTATTATTTCTTAATTTCCCTTATGCTCTCTCTCGTTCAATCTTTATTACTATAGCTCTCTCGCACCTCTAGCTCCATGGCACTGGGCGTGATACGACCATGGTACAATTATACAAGATAGTCTCGTCGGCTGCGTCACTCCCCTATCGACACTACAATGAAAGCGAGAGAAAGAGTGTTTTCCTACGAAAGCCCGAGCGTACTGGTCGATAGGGGAGTGAAACCGAACAATTCTGCAGCCGACGAGACTACCTTGTATAGTTGTACCCATGGAATAATAATTGTACCATGGTTGTACCATGGATACGACAATCGCTCTATCTCACTTGTTCTCTCTATTCGCACTCCATCGCTAGTTGCTTCATGCTACGTTCGCCCTGTCTTACTCTCTCTCAATCGGTCTAGGTCGTTCTCTCTTTCTTTTTCGACACTTCCATTGCATACTTGCTTGACGATACATTTGTAAAAAAAATTTACCCTCATGCGCTTAAAAAAGTTTCACTTTAAAAAGATTTACTTTAATATTTTGCAAGTCTGGAAGGTCTCTTTTAGGCGTCCAACATTTTTTGAGTTTTTTTTTGTTTTTAGAACACCTAAATACATAGAAATCAGTAGGAAATATCCAGACTGCTTTTTTTGTTGCAGACCTGTGTAATTGAAATCATATTCTTTGCTTGTTAGAGGAAGAAGGTTCTGCGACCACAACGTAATTATTCTTGATCAGGCGAGTCTTCTTTTTCAGGTTCTAAAAATTCGAAATATTGAATGATCTGTAACCGACCACGAAGCCCCGTCAACATGTCGTGAGATCGCGGTCGGAATTATAGTCCGTACCAAAAACGGTTGCTAAATAGGTAGGATCCACTTTCCCTTTACCGCGTCCTACTCAGGGAGGATCGCCTGTCCCAAAAACGGCTGCTCAATACGGTGGATCCGCCATTTCTTCGCGTTTCTGTTCCTTACAATCGTTGTTTGTATTTTTTCTCGACTTTCCGCATTACGCCTTTATCGCGGAGCTGACCCTTCACTACGCCAGCTTTATTCTAGTATTTTCCCGAATTTCGGCTTTAATAAAAATATTTATTATATTTGGGCTCCGTGCCTTTCATAAGATCTTTCTTAAATAGCTATATTTTTTGTGTCTACACTTAACATAAGACAAAAATAATATTTCAGACATTTGTTTTAATAAACTAGAAAAACTATGAGTAAATACAGATGTGAATAACAAATGTGACGGTCTTGCCGTCAAAGGAAATCTTCAGACCCTCCCCTTTCTTGCCGGGGGTCGACGAAAAAGCACTCGCCCCTCTCCATGTGATGACATATCGAGAGCCATCCTCGTCTACGGCGAACCGGATCCGATGGCCCGATCCAACCCTCTGGCATCGGGCACATGTCCCCCGAAGAAGTCGTGGGAAGATCATTCATCGGCGCATCGTTCACCATCGTTCATCGTTGCCTCATCTGACACCTCGTTGACGAATTTTCCGATCAATCCGGCTCCTTGGATTTCATTCAACACCCGGTTCAGGACCTCGTCCTCTGCAGCGCAGGATGGAGATCATTGTTGCCAGGGAAAAGGAAGGAGTTTCTCCTCTGGTCGTTGTGGCGAATCCGGTTTGCACTCGGGGCGGCCGTTCTCGACTTCGTCCGTGGTTCCGTGGTTTACCTGCCTCGCCGTTGGTCTAGAAAAACAGCCGACAAAAGAGGGGACGTTCCTCAACGCCGCCGTTGCTGTCGGTTGCTTTGTCGTATTCCGCAAAGTACATCGTGGGGAGCTCTTCATCCAAAGAGATCCGGCAGTGCCGCTTGGGTTCGGTTCGAGAAGCCTCATCCCGGACATAGAACGGTAGCATTGGAATGTGATGAGACCCGGCGACGACGGTCGGAGTTGCCTAGGCCATGCGCAAAGCCTAAAGAGGCTGATTCCTCCGATGTTTGATCGACAAAGGCATCGATGGGGCTGTAAGTTCTTCACTCCAACCACACACCAGGTGTTTGTGTTGGCCTTGTCGCTACCCGTTGCGGCCAACTCGTCACCAGCGGCTGCACTTTCTAACTGACTCTCAGTCTCGTCCAAGAACACATATTGTGATCCATCTGAAATTATAGACTTATCTTATTGTGGTGGCCTGTCTACTGGAATTCTTAACCATCGGTGCAGTGAACCCTGGACTTAAGGTACTTAACTTATTCATGGTTTTTACATAAGATTCATCTTACTAGCTACCTTAGGATTCGTTTCTTTCATCTATTCACCTGTTTACTCCTATTCTGCATATCACCGAAGTGTTCCTCGTCCGTGGCCTCTCTAGACTAATAAGGTAACTCAAACCTTGCCTGCCGCGCGTCGTCTTCTTTCTCCTTATCGACGCAGAAGGATTCAGTGATATAAACTTTGTGACGACGTAGGGTCCGTCGTAAGGCGCTAGTTTGGCAGCGAAGCCTTCGCTTGCGTTTGAAATGTGGTGTTGGCGGATCTTAACTTGTACCCGAATTTTGGTCTCAACTCCCGGCCCCGAAGAATATAGTTTTTGTGCCTGAAACGATCGTTTTAAGTTGGTACGTAGCACGTCAATATCAAAAGGTTTATTCGCCACGCAAGTTAACATCTTACCCGCCGCTTTGGCTCGGGTGGTTTTGAACCTCTGACATCCTGTCAGTCGTAACTTCTCCAAGATATAATCAAATCTCCCAACTGGGTATGCATGCGGCACCGAATAAGCGTTCAATTGTTAATAATCGACGCACATACGCCAATCACCTGTCTTCTTCTTGACTAATACTATTGGGGCACTGTGAGTCATCCGCTTCTGACTCCAGATGGACACTCTCTGTTCTAGAGTCTTTGTTTGGTCTTTTCTTCTTCTGCTTTCGCTTCATGTCGTGCAGGCCGCTATCGTCGTTGTAATAATATGAATTTCTTCACGTTTTGCTACCATGCGGGTGAATCCTTCTCTTACAAAACTTGACGGTCCAGATTCATTTGTGTCCCCCACCCATTGATCACCGCACTGTAGCCGTGATCAGACGGGTTGTCCCTACTTACGCCTTCCTTTCTCCCACTCCTTGAACGTGGCCCCTGATCTCAATCTTTCAAACGTTTGAAATGGCGTGGCGGTAAAAAGATATCCAGGCATTCCCGCTGTAACGTTAAGCATGAGGCGGTCTGCAAGTGGCTCGTAAGAAACCAACAGGTTACCCTACCTTCGAGAATCTCAGTGGGACTTCTTCCTGATCGCCACCATACGTTACTTTTTGTTCCTCGAATTCGGCGATTATCGATCAAACTCTAGAACCTTGTATTTCATTGGCGCATTCGTTTTGGAAGCAAATGGCGATGATGGGGGACTCTTAATGGTGATTCCAGCGTTAACGCTTCCATCCCGCTATTGAGTTCGGGTGGTTGTTTCCCCAATCTAAAAAGTCCCCTTGTGTCGAGCCTACACTTTTCCCTTGTCTGCTCTGGATTGGAGCGCGATAACTATAGAATTCTTGTAATTCTATGAATCGTTTTCACACTGTTTCGGGAAAATAGCCCCTGCTCCCCATCGTGGCACACGCCTTCAGCAACCAGGGCCGCAAATTCGTCTTCACGGCGGGCGTAGATTCATCTTACGCTCACTTCTGGGTTCTTCATCAAATCCGCCTCTTCGCACTCGCCATCCGGCACGTTTGGGTCGACCATGACTCACATAGTTACTCTATTGTCGTTTCTTTGTGAAACTCTATATGGAGCGTCGGTCTCTCAACATAGTTTGGCCTCTTTAGTGAGACTTTACGCCACTCTAGCTAGCCTCAGTCTGTTCGTGCGCCACTTGAAAAGATGCTCTCTGGCTGGGGTACAAATCTCAATTGGATTCCGGGATCCTTGACAAGAAATTTGTAAACCGCCGACACACGGTAAACAGTTCTGTCCACTCAATGAACAGGGATTTTTATATCGATAGGACCAAAAGTCACACGAGCTTGACCTTCGGGCAAGGCCGCATCCGATTGAACAATTTGCGATCGGAGCGGAAGTCGGGCGTTCAGCCATGTTGGAAAATTTCTCCAAATTTTCAAATTTTCTTGTGACCTGGAACCGAACATGAAACCCCGTCAACACGCCGCGTGATTGCGGTAGGGAGGATCCGCCGTCCCTTAACCGATTCCTCTTGGAGGATCATGGTCATTGTGGCAACCTGTCACTACCAGCGTTGCTGAGAGCGGAGAGCATTCTAGCTGTCATTGAGTCAGTCTGGATATATCCTATTGTAGAGTGCGGGTCGCACCGAGAAACTAATAAATATTGTTTGTAAATATCTGAGTAATTGCGTGCAGTTGGTTTGTATTTATTGGGCTGTTTACAGGTCATTACATTGGCGACGAGAGAAAAAAAAAACAAAACAAGAAAATAGAAAAGACCGATAAAGAATTAAATTCATTTCGGCTGTATGTGTGTTATTTTGGTACATACATACATAAAAAAAAGAGTGTGGCCACTTAAATGTAGCCTAATTGTGGATATCTGAGTAATTGCGTGCAGTTGGTTTGTATTTATTGGGCTGTTTACAGGTCATTACAGTCATCATAGTCACACGACCTGGCTTTGAGCTACCACCCCAATTTCTTGAGTTATAAATAATATAACTAACTATTTTTGGCAGACCTGTTAAGCAGGGGCGTATGCAGTTTTTTTCTTGGGCGACTTCCAAGACACTTCGGTCCCTTTTTGTTTTTTGACTTGTGAGGAGTCTTAATACTTCCCACAAATGGAGATGGAAGGGAACCGCCCCTAGCAACAGCGACGGAGGCTGGAGTGTGGGAGAGGTCAAGTCCAAACGGTGACGTTCAAGAGCGTGAACGTGTCAAACGGCAAACTGGCGGACTTTGTATCCGCACATAAAGCTGGCTGGAGAAGGAAAATGGGACCAGAACGGAAGAGTCAAGTTAAATTTATACGAAAGTTCTGGAGAAGTCCGTTCGTAAAGGTAACCGGGCGTAGATTCAATCGAAGAAAATGGGTCAAACCTCAAACTCAGCTGAGCTAGACACTCTTTCGGTATCGAGCACAAGCAAAAAGGCGAACCGTTGAGCAAAATTCAAAAGCTACAACTGCTGGTGACTTCGGTTACAACAGTAAGCATAAAAGGACGGTGGCTGGTGCTGATTTTTTATTTTCGTAGCTGAAATATGAAATTAAGCTAACAGAAGTTTTTTAAACTCTTAGCTTGGTATACCCATGACAAATGAGAAAATTGTATTCTATACACTAAAATATAATATAAAACACCAGTACATTTCTAAAAAAAAATTTTAAAACATTTTTTTATTAATATCTATTTACTTAAGCTCTCCAACAAACTTTGCTTCCAACTCTGCTATCATTTTATCATCCTCCAATAATTCTAAGTCTATAAGCAAATCTTTTTCCCGGAACATTTTATTATAACACTGTGGGCTGTCATTGTTTTTTGTTTCCTTTGGCCCTTTAAGGTTTTGTTCTGATGGTTTTGAGGACGATCCCACAATTCGAATACACTCTGCCTTCATGTCTTTGGCCAGAGTTTCATCAGCTTTATCAGAAGGTTTATTTCTAGGCAACGAATTATCGTCGAACCCCAAGTTTAATTTATCGTTGAAGTCAATTTTTTTAATTTTTTTAGGGCTTGGTTCCTTTAAATTATCATTTTCAGTATTGAATGGATTATCGTTTTTATCAGTAGTTTGTGAAAAACTTATTTCATTTTCAAGAATCGAAACAGAACTTTGGTATATGTCCTCGATAACATTTGTTTGAGCCGCGTCTTTTACGCAACTTAAAACATTTAAATTGTCAACACATTGTTTAAATCGAATATCTATTTTTTGAGGATGAAGCATTATTTCAAAAGTGGTAAGATTATTTATTTGCCGTAGTTCAGTACTATTTCCAAATAAACGAAAGTCGTCTAAAAGAGTCATAATAATTTCAGAAGGTGCTGGACATCCATAATTCCGTGATTTTAATAAAAATGTTATTGTTTTGAGAGCTTCCAAGCTATAATTGGTAATGTTATTTGAATACGTCCTTTTGATTGATTCTGGTTGCATTTGAAGACAAATTTTTAATAAGGCGTTGTGCACGTCCTGTAATATATATAATATAATTGGTTAAACTTTATAAATATGTAAAGAATACTTTCCTTTAAAAGGGAGGGTTTTAGCAAATGACCGGACGATGATAAAACATTTTGAAGGCAAAAATGGGCTTGCTGACATAACAGGTCATAGTTTTCACAGCTATGTGACATCTCCAAAATTGAAAAAATGTTTTCAGTTGAACATTTTGGATTTAAACTTGAATTTTTGAGCTTTATGGATTTAAAAACAAAATTAAATTTTTAAATGAGTATAAAATATTATATAAAAAAAAAGATATTTACGCAAAATGAAGTTGGGTGTCTCGGAACTAAATCGTCCAATATTTCTTTGATAAGAACCTCAGAAATAATTTCGGAGTGGCATCCTTCACGCAGAGTAACACACCACAATGATATTACTCTATATACAATTCCGCGTATTTTGCTACAAATAAATAAGTTTGGATAAGTGGTTATCTATATTAAGTGGATAATTACCTAATAATAATTCAACTTATACACATTTAGTTGATGCAATTTCTACGTTGTCAGCTATGATGTAGGTGTACCAATACTTTTTATTGGTCATCGAAATCAAATGTTGTTTTTAAATATACTAAATCAACAAAATTTGCCTAAGAGATTCATAAAATTATGTCACCTAATATTGATAAGTTATATTATCTCGAAAATCTTTTTTAACGACCTTGCCTGGTTTTCAATGGCACGCACAGGAAAAAGAAATTTAAAGTGCCGCTCAAGTCCGAATCAAATCTTTAACCCATTATCGCCAGGTGGGTATTTAAATACCCAAGAAATCATCGGTGCTTAAAAAATTTCTAGCTTGACCTAGCAGTTCACACTAAAGACCGTTATGTATTAAAATACCATGTCATATTTTAGATATTTTTGATGATAGCAACACAAGGTTTTATCCTTTCAACTTCTATGGTCCCCAGAACAAAATCGCACGATCCGATTTATAGGCGCCATTTAATGGGTTAATAGAACGCTTTTAACAACTGCTAAACAAAATTTAACAAACTACGTCTTCGTTTGTGTACATACATATGTGGGCAATAACTAATTTTTTGACCTATTTTTTTTTTGATGCTAGGAGCATTACGGTAGCAAAGGAATTTTTATTGTTTAAATCGAAAAACGCTGTCATTCGGAATTGATAATTTGGGTCACACTTATTGCTTCAGCTTCTGCCACAAGGATACTTTCGATTAAAATTCAATTCAGAATTTCCCCCCTTCAAATTTATAAACTGTTTTCGGCAAAGAAATTATACCCTTTTCCGATTTCATATAAAATCTGAAAGTACCCCGTGTGGAAGAGTTTACAAACTTAAAAACTTACAAACAACTAAAAACCTTACCAAACTGCAACAAATATTACACTTATTTAATACATATTTATTTTTCAACTTACGCTACTTGATTTTGATTTGCTTCCGAAAACATTAATTTTGTCCATTCCAGAGCATCTATTAAAATATTTAGAACGAGTCGAAAGTCCATCCTGAGGTGTGTGTAACAACTATAAGTAAGCATAAAAACACAGTTTTAATTATTGTAGCTTTAATTTAAGACATTTGATACATGCCCAAAATGGGACAGCATTTTTAGAGCAAGGTACAAACAATACTCAGCACTATGGCAATAGCATCCAGAACAATTTATATAATCGCAGCTCTAGAAATTTAACAACTGAGATAATTTAATTTAATCTGCAAAGCTTTTACTTTTTGATACGTAAGAATCAGAGCTCGCAAATGACAGTCGCCGGTTTTTCATCATGTGCTCTCGGTGCGAGCACAACCGAAAAAGTTCATACTCTCTCACTCTCGCTTTGAGCAAGAGACCCTTGCTGTCATCATTTGTGTTTTCTGTTGAGCGCTTTTCGTTGAGCTCTTTGTATTTTGGTCTTTCAATGAGCAGTGCGTAAGGAGCAGTTCGATAAACGCTCGCACAATGAGAGTCAGCAAAAGACCGATTGACCAAAAAACTCAACGCAAACGGTCTTCGCGATGACATACCGGTTTCTTTATTGATTTTTGACGACAATTTTAACATACTTAATACTTCGATGATTTTCTGCTATGCCTCTCCTAAAGAAGTCCTTGTCCCTACTGGCAAGAAACTCGGCGATTCGATTTTCACATTCCTCCCTTGAATTCAATTTTTGTCTATCGAAAAAATTTAGCATGGCCAAAACAGATGGTAATCGCTTGGGGCAAGGTCCGTACTATAAGGTGGATGCATTAAGGGGTAATATACCCTTTTCTCCAGAGAAATACAGGGTTTTTATTTATTTTGTTTAGCATGTTACCATTGTTTTATTTAAATACAATACAAATTTTACCAACGTACGTGTCCTTAAGGGGGGAAATACAATTAGAAGGCCTGAAATGAGGGCTATGGGAGTGGTTTGCAAGTAGGGTATTAAGGGGGTCTTCCTATGTGATGGGTTGAAAAAATCGATTTTTTTTTTTTTTCATAAATTGCTCCCTTAACATGTCTAGAATACGGTAGTAAAGCGATTTTAGAAAATTCGAAGTCGTTTTAAAGATACAGCAGGTAAAAGAAAGAGCGGTTCGAAGCGCTGAGTTGGCAGTTAGAAACTATAAACGCGTTTTTCTCAAAACTGTGTTTTTCAAACTTTCCTCCATTGTATCTCAGAAACGGCTGGACCGAATTACTTGAAATTTACAGGGCACACTCAATATATGTAAACGCATGGAATGAACTATTATCAATCGAAAATTTTCAAAACTTCGATTTTTTTATAGCAAAAAACAAAAAAAAAAAAAACGCCAAATTCGCAACTTTTTTTTCAAATGTCTATCAAAAATCCAATTTTTTTTATATTCATTTGATTGTAGTTCATTCCGTGCATTTAAGCCTACAAATTAAAACGCCGTTTATTTTTTTTTTCTGATAAGCCGATCAGCCGGAATCGTGGAGGAAGTGGGAGCTCTTTTTTTCGAGGCGGGGGTGTTCAGAGCGCTGTAACTCTAGTTTGACCGAATATTTTTTGCTGAAATTTTTTATTTATACTGTCCAAATATGTGTTAATAAATGATAAAAAACTTGAAGCTCTAAATATTTACTGGTCGTAGAAAAAAAATCCTAAAATAACCCTAAAAAACAGGCCGTCACATAGGAAGACCCCCTTAAGGCAGGTTCTCACCTTGTGGAAAAAAAATTGATTTTTTTTTTTTTTGCTTATCGTATAGATACATGTTCCGAAAATGTTCTCAAAGCATTTCAGATCCAAATTTGAAATATTACAAAAGTTACAGGCCCTTACATCGAGCACATGTCGAGCACCGGCCATTGGAAGCCAAAACTTTAAACGCGTTTATCTCGGAACCACGTTTTCGGACCTTACGGAAGTAATTGAAGGCGTTGGGGTTAACCAATCGTCATCAAATTTTGTTTAAATGTTCAATTGTTTCCTTAACTAATGAACTAGGAATGTCCAAAAATATTGAAAACATTTAACAGTGAGAAAATAATTAGTGAGAAGAAAAGCGCGAAAATCGAAATTTTTTCAAAAGCTAATAACTTTTGCAATTTTCATTTTTTTTCTGATCCTAGTTCATCTTATGCACAGAACTGTTCACTTTAAGAATCTTTTTGGTTTTTGTGTTTCCGATTACCCGTTTTGGCTGAATCACTTTGTAAGGGTTTGTAAAAACGCCTTACAAGTTTGAGTGCAGGAGAGCCGCATAGCAACAGCGGGATGCGCGGCATGCAGAGAAAAAGGGAAATAACGGTGCAAAGGACTTTGGACTCAATGCTGCGGTGAGTCTGCAGACTTTGGACCCAATAACGGTGAGTCTGCGGACTTCGGACCCGCGCAAAGAGGAGAGACCGTGAACTAACGGTACCGTTCTGGACTTTGTACCCGTTATAACGGTGAAGTTCTGGACTTTGTACCCGTTATAACGGTGAAGTTGGCGGACTTTGGACCAGCACAAAGAGGAGAGACCGTGAACTAACGGGACTTGTGCTGCCCTTTGGACCCGATCACGCCACTTGTCCTGCACTTTGGACCCAATCACGCCACCGAAGGAGGGAAATAACGGGAACAGGGTGGCATATAAAAGGAGGACGCGTGCAGGAAGCTGGACAGTCAAGTGAAAGTCGTGCAAGTGACCGTATCAACGCGAGGAGTTAGAAAGGAACCGCCTCGGAGGACGGTCGTGTCCAAGACCCGCCAAGACAGTCAAGTGAAAGCCGTGCAAGAGACCGTACCAACGCGAGTGAAAGCCCAAGTGAACAACAAGTGCCAGGATACCAGGAATCAAGATCGCCGAGTCGAGAAGCCCAACGACGGTCACGTCTACATAAGCTGAGACTGCCAAGCTGAGATCCCGAGGGTACAAGGTAAGTTGTAGTGTGCGTCTACGAGTCTCGAAAACGACGGTATTGGTGGAGTCCGAGTAAGTGGATGTTGTGTGAAAGGTACCCAGCGTCGGTTCGCATGAGATATTGAGAACCTGCTGAGGGCCAGCTGACGAAGATCCAGTGGATGTTGTGCGAAAGGTACCCGGCGTCGGTTTCTCATGAAAGATTGGGGACCTGCTGAGGGCCAGCTGACGAAAATCCGAGGGAGTTGTGCGAAAGGTGCCCGGAGTCGGTTTCTCATGAAAGATTGAGGACCTGCCGAGGCCCAGCCGACGAAATCCCGACCGACTTCAGGGTAGAGCGTGGAGTGTTGACTGCAGCAGCGCTGCTTAGCCCTCCAGTAAGGTTTTCTGCTCAATATCCGCCAAGTTGTGAGAGACTCGTAGCGAGCCTAGTACGCGACCGGTGCCCGAAAGACTCGGCAAGGCAGAGGACGCACGACAGGCGTGCCGTCGCAGGAGTCGACGCGGGAGCCATTTCCGGCGTCAACGAGGGAGATCGAGTCATCAGACAGCAGAACCACGAATCAAATATCGAGCTACAAATCTACGTACAATAAACCCAACAAGTATTCTTAAATCTAACCTAACTCTGTGTTATTCTTTGGTCTCGGGGTTACGCATCAATAAATTAGGTGGGACGAACACACAAACTCATCTGAGCTAGCCGCACGTTCTCGTAGCGAGCGAAGACACAAAAGCAGTTCGTTACAACTTCCGTAAGCGGGACACCTTTTTACCGAAATGTTGCAACTGAGGAACGCCCCCTCCCGCCCCTTTTTTGATTTTTCAATTTTGAAATTTTTTTTTTCGCAAAATAAATATGTTTTCAAATAAAGTTACAAATTTCAGATTTTTATCTTTAACCGTTTTCTCAAAACAATTTTTTTTAAAAAATGTCCATTTTTCGGCCCTACAAGGTGAGAACCTGCCTTAAGGGGTTTTTTTTTTAGAAATCGGGGCACTAGAACCTAAGATACAGCCGTTCATAGCGCACGGTGTGCATGACTACCTAATGTCCACCTAAAACTTTAAACGCGATTATCTCGGAATCGCATATTTGAGAAAAGGTCGTTGCGGTGAGCACGATATCTCGGTAACCACTACATCGATCGATTTGAAATTTTGGGGGATTGTTTGTAGATACAATAGCTAGTTCGTGAACGAAGGAATTTTATTTTCGATAAATTTTTCTATTTTTTTGGGGCGAAAAACTAAATTATTAGACCTCGAAAAATCGGTTATTTTGAAAAAATAATCACTCTAACTGTAAAAAATTTTTTTCATAAAATCCTTCGTTCACGAACTAGGTAACACTATATACTAACGTAGTTTTTTTTTTTTTCGTTGAGCCGTTTTCTTGTTTTCATGCTCACCGTTAGCCACTACTTAAAAAAGGACTTCTGCGGCAAGGACTATAACTTCCACAATTCTCAAAATTTTCACTCGAAATTTTATACGAAGAAAGTTAAGGACACGTACTTTGATAAAATTTTTATTGAATTTAAATAAAACAATGGTAACATGCTAAAAAAAAATAAATAAAAACCATGTATTTCTCTGGTGAAAAAGGTATATAACCCCTTAAATGAATCTTAGCGGTTCTTTTTGCATGTTATTGGGTAATTATTGAGCAATAAAAATCAGTCAAGTTTTTTGAAAAATATTGTAATTAAGCCCATTTATGATCAATAATGTGGAGTCGTGTTTTTAGGGAAGGACTTTGCGCCGTGCAGTCTCCAGGTCCAGGATCACGACTTGAACAAAAAACAGCAACTGGTACTTAAAGGTACAGCGCACACCATGAATTATTCCATATTTGAAAAAAATTATTTTTCCATTAAAAAATTTGAAGTTAAAAAAAAGATTTTAAAAAAACGCTTTTTTCGACTTTGTTTGTAAAAAAAAAACACATTATAACAAACAAATATGAAAAACCGTTATATTCAATGGAGAATTTAATTTCAAACATAATGCAAAAAACCGCACGGCGACTTTGAAAACACGACTTTTCAGGAGAAGCGTTTAAAGTTTACTTTTGTGCCTGTTCGCCATATGACAAACCCTCACTAAATTGCGTATAACTTTGAAAATAAGTACCGGACGGCTTTATGCTTTCAAAGGC